AAAGCATCACAATTTGCAGCCCGTACTTTCACTAATCACCTCGGCCTGCTTTATTGGACTCCGAAAACTTTTTACGTTCAATGAAATAATACTGAATTAGGTAGCCATCATAAAAAATAAAGACTAACCTGAACACTAGACGATTCACAATTCTAACAGACGCGGGAGCGGGTGCCTCACAAGCGGCTCATTCACTTCTTACGACCAGGCGAACCACCGGAAGCGCGGGGCTTCCGGGGCCGTGTTGAAGTCCACAGGGGACTTCTGTCTCTGCTGGGGGCCTTACAGTCGCTGCTGGATATTCGGTGGTGCTTGGCGCCGAGGCTCTTGAGCGAAGATGGTACGAACGCGTCTGAATTGTCCCAGCTGATGTCGCTTTAAGTGCTGTCATTGCCTATCTGCAGGGCCGTGTCACACGTAGTGCTGTCTGAGTCCTCGTTGATGAAAACACCATCACCTCGAGACAAAGACTCTTCAAAGATAGAAGGTCTAACAGAGGACTGGGCAGCCATGGGGTGAGCATCAGATAACGCGTCACCATCTGTGACCCGTTCGCCGAAAGGCGGCTCTTCTGGCGAGGGCTCAACCTGTGGTTCAGTGGGAATCACCAATGGTTATAGATCATCGGCACCATGATGGGCTGCCTGGTCCGGGCTGGCTGGAGACACTGCGGGCGTTTGGTGTTGGGTCTCGTGTGGCGTCGCATTCCGCACAACTTCGTTCTCTCAAATATTTTGTCCTGGCGTCGATGCAACGACGTCCTTGTTTTCGGACTGCGTTCTTGGTTGAAATGGCAAATAATTCTTGGACGCAACCTCGGAATACGATGGCCTGATGGTGCAGGTGATGGTGGCATGCGGGCCACCACAATGGTGACACGGCAGCGAACAGCCCTTCCTGTCGTGCCCATGAACCCCGCACCTTCCGCAAAAGGCAGCTTTTCAGTTTATGCAGAAGTGCCCACTGTTTCCACATTGACGACACACTCGCTGAATCTCTTTATAGCAACAGATCACTCAAAGGCCTGTGACCTTGAGGTAGTTGGACACAGTCGACGATGTCTTTACTTCCATCCAGATGTATCACATCCCAGTGCCCACAGTTGGGCGTGACGCCATAAGTCCTCTGCTAATGTGCAGCACCTTCCCGTAAGGAGACAATACTTGCGTGAAGACCTCGCAGGGGACGCGGGCTGGCAGGAACAGAACGCTGACTTAGTGAGTTGGGGTCAAGAAGGTTTAAAAATTCCTCTGACGATAAAAGGTGGGTCGTGTCAACGATTAGAGCCAGAGCGGCTTCATTCTTAACGGTGGCTTGGTATGGTTCCGGCCTCCAAAGCTCTCCACAGACGTCGCGTCAATGACGTCTGCGGAACTAGTTCCCCCGGGGACGACAACGTCGAAAGCTAGCGCTTTCTTCGGGGGCTAGCTTGCCATGACGGGCGTCCACTAGCCCAGGGGCACCCTGATACGCTAGCAGAAATGACGAGGCAACACGAGCACGTGCAACACCGAAACAGAATCGTGTGCCTTTGCGGCCTTTCACCACAATAGTACATGAAGAAACATACACGAGCATAGTCCCTACTAAAGTTACGGCTTTTCTGGTGGCCTTTTAGTCTATTTTTCTTTAATTATAAAATCAAACCATCTTTGCACACCCATCAATAATACTGTACATCCTGCGTTCACACTTGTGCGTAGTTTTGATTAAAAAGCAGTTGCACATATATGAGGCAGAACACGAATACGGATATATACTGTGGCATGTTCCTTTAAAACATAACAGTCGTAGATGAGGAATTCTCAAGAACCCAGCGTTTAATTCGCTAAACTGACAAAGCGACGCTATGCACGAAAAGGCCGGTGTTTCCTGCTTTACGCTAAGACGATGCGGTGGTGGCACCTACCCGCTACGTGCATCGAGGCACTTCAACGCAGTGTCTCCAGAATCCCATTCACCAGTTTTCCTCGTAGAGAACATCAAATAAATTTTTTATTTGCTCTCTACAGACAGAAGACTATCACTATTCGACTACATTTGCAGGAAATATGCAGATAAGGGGCCAATAGTTTTTTTTGCATTACGACACGGTGACTGAATACAGCGCACATGCCTGACATTGATTATCTCTGACTCCTCCAGAACACAAAAGTTATGTCATATTTGCTTGTAAAGTATTACGTGGTCAAAGATACACGATAGGTGAATTTGTTATTCTGGGAGAACTGTACTCACAAGTTTAAAATTCTATTTGTGCTTAGTGTTTTTCAATTTAGCCTCCAACTTACAAGGCAATGTTCTTTAATTGTATAAGTCAGGCTGATCGATGCAGCTAATTCAAAAGAATGGTTCTTCATGCTGTCCCGCTTTGCCCTAATAGGTGAACTTCTAGGCTGTGACTTCGACACAGGAAGCCTGTGCCACTGGACGTCTCAAAGTACAACAGGTGCAGCCGCGTGGGTATTCGGAACACCTATGAACTCTTCACTCGGCCCTCTGCAGTCGCCAGAAGAGAAAGGTTGGGCTCATCGATAACTGTTTTCTCCCTAACTATCTTACTAACGTCCGATGTGTAGGGTGTATACATAGGACACTCTCTATAATGCTCCGTGATGTTGTAGGCGAGGTTGCTTCAATTTTCTTTACCATTTCAATTTTTTCAATATAAATAAAAAAAAGAAGTTGCAGTTTCGCCGCAAAGGCGAAGGAATGAATTCGATAGCAACAAATTGGAATGCTGAATGAAGAAAAGAAATTAGCTCGAAACTTGCAGAACGATGCTCCAGAACAAAGGACGCATGCAAAAAACGCAAATGTTATAGCAGGTGGAGCATGAAATAACAACTTGAATAGTTGTTATAAGAGCAGCTACAAGGTCTTGTTGGTGTTGCATCTAGGCTTAGCGCGCTTTTAACCGTATGGAGATGGACTTGACGTGTGTGTTCATGTACCCTCAGTCTGTCTCTGAACGGTTGAAAGCGCGTTAACCCAAGGTGCATAGTCATTGCTTATTTGTGTTTGAGCATCGCAATACAAGTGTCAAGCTACGACAGTTGTTAGCTTGTGGTTTCATGCGTCGCCAATATGAAGGACTTCAGAGCAGCGATGAGGTCGCAGACGTCTTGATGTAACGGAAGACTATACTTTTATGCCACCCGTCACTTCGTGACTAATTTTCATTCACTGGAAGAAACTCGTTCAACCAATAGGTATAGCTAAGCGCGTTAACCGACTATGCATAGTCATTACTTATTGAGTTTGCGCAGTGGGCTTCAGGTGTCAAGCTGGGAGAGTTGATATTTTGTGGCCATACCGTGCTTGATTTTAAAGATGTGAAGCACCTCTTTGACTAGTCTTGTATCGTTGTTCTTTCGTACACACCGATTGTGCATGCTCACCTTTTTATATTTTTCTCCTGACGCCAGTGGCTTCCAACAAAGGATAATTTTAGTGCGATAGAAACTGTACGAACACTCTCGGCTGATTTTTTTGTCATTTCTATGCCCCGAATATACAACACAACACACACACACACACACACACCACACACACACACACACACACACACACCACACACACACACACACACACACACACACACACACACACACACACACACACACACACACGAGCTAAAAATCGCAGGTGGACTAGATAGATAGATAGATAGATAGATAGATAGATAGATAGATAGATAGATAGATAGATAGATAGATAGATAGATAGATAGATAGATAGATAGATAGATAGATAGATAGATAGATACGCTCAAAGTCGCCGAAGTTCGCTAAGAAATTCTTCGCGTGTAAAATTTCCTTTATAATAACCACTGGTTTCATGACCAGTTTGCCGTGGTGGGTGGGAGCCATATATGAAGAAAAAAGCGAGCAGTCAAGCTACTGCCACAATGCAGCTGCTTATGACGTCGACGCCCACACTGCGATCTTTGGGAGAATCTGAGGTGCACGCATTGATGAAGTGCATAGGAAGTGCACCATCGGTGTCAAATGAAACCAGAACAGCGGCAAGCCTTCGCGATAGTATAGCGCGTGCCGTCCAGTTATCACCCGTCGACAGGTGCCCACATCCTATTCACATCTCTGCGCACGAATGTGTGCTTGTTCATGGCGATAACTGGAGGGCACGCATGATGTCATCACGAAGGCTTGCGCATGTTCGTGTTTCATTTAACGCCGATGGCACTTTTTTCTACCGTCACGATATCGCTGATGTCTACTGAGGGCCAAGGAAGGAAACGCCAGGGAAATGCTGGTGAAAACGCTGTATGTAGTTCGGCCTTTGTAATGCCACCGCTTGTCATACAAATACCTGCGGAACAGCTCCAAGGAAATGCTTGTCTTGCGAAAGCATGGCGGGCTCGCATAAGAGCATGCTGCTATGCGTGCGAGAACCACTGCAGCTGGACGCACATCCGACTGTGTTCACTACACGTTGTAGGCTTCGTAAATATTTTAGCCTTAGTTCGTATAAGAGTCCAGCGTGCTGCTATCGCATTCATTGCTTCAGCGTTGTACAGAAACTGGGACTTTCTTTATGACAACGAAATTCAGCTCCGAAATGCTGACGTGATAGGTGCTTCTTTTGTATTATCCCTCGAAGCATTGAAGTGCTCTCGTCACCACTTGGACTGAAGTTTACTGCAATAAAACAACAGCCATGCTCGGCAGTACATGTACATGAATAGGCCTGTAATGACGATAGAGTAGCATCAACTTTTGAGCAGCTGTTGTCCAAAAGCACATAATAAGAGAACGCCGAGTGCCAAATTTCATAAGCTGTAAACATGAATTTACTAAAACAGTATACTGAGACCATATTCTATTCTATGAGAAATCTCTGTTGCCCTAAAAAAGAGTCTCTCTCTCCTCTCTCTCTCTCTCTCTCTCTCTCTCTGTACAAGCGAACGTATAGTGCGGTTCACACTACATTCCCACCACTTATAATTTCTCTGTTCACTTGTTTTGCACGCAGGCGGCATGATCTATCTCACCGGATCTGCACTGCCCGAAAAAAGCCACCCCGTTCTGCTGACCTCTGCTACGGTTGGGCAACAAACTGAAGCGTCCTGCTTTTCTTTCTGGTACCACATGTTCGGAGGCGACGGCGTGGAGTTGGAATTGTACCTTAAGAAGTCTTTCCAATCAGCTGGCGCCCCTTGGAAAAGTGACAAGTTGTTCAGTCACAATGACCGCACGACTGCCGACCGATGGTACAACGTACGCCGGACTGTATTCATCGACGAAGCAAGAAACGAGGTACACTTTTGTTGTTAAATTTGTACTTGTAGCTATTTCAAGTTACTTGGGACTACCATCAATTAATGATGAGCATGTTCAGCCTCTCTGATGTGACGTTTATTAGAGAGACCACTTCATAGAGAAAGACCTCACAGAAAAAAATTGTTTACCGGAGCCCTTCATAAATACCTAGAGAAGGAGTAACATGAAGCTTGATACATGGATGATATAATAGTTAATTTTTTTACGCTATGAAATACTGAACAAAAACACTGAGAGCATGTGGAATTCTTTATTTTGTATTACTTCGAGAATTCTCTCGCACTACCCAGGAGAATCTGCAGAAGGGGTTTGCAGGAAAACGAGTTACAAAAGAAATATGTGCACGGTAAAATAAAAGTATAGTAAGTTGGGCCAATAGGTATAATTAGACTGTAAAAATAACGTATGAGCAAGACGTATAGAGGAATGCAAGAAGGCTGATAACAACAGCGCTTGTTATTAAAATCCCCTTGCTATTTTTTGGCATCTCCGTTTTTCCATTGTTTTTAAAATCACGTTAAATTCCGGGTTGTATAAACATATATACACTTTGGCGAGGCTTCCAATTATGTCGTGGTTTAGGCACGTGAAACTGGGGGGCCTAATATTATTATAAACAAAAATAAAATGAAACAAACCTGAAGAAATAGATAAAAAAGAACAGGCACGAAAACCAAGAATAAATGGTATGTTATAGCGGTGATCACATCACAAAAAAAATCTTCATTACACGTTGGTAGAGCCATCAATATATGACATACAGTTGCTGAGTGCTCTCATTTATCCACTCCAAATATAGTAGTGTTTCTGTTAACAAGTAGAGAAGCTTCACAGCGCAAAGCAGTTTTTAGAGTTACAGCATATAATTTGGCGATATGTCTTTTTGGTGTTTTTCACTTTTTATTCAGTCAATCCCACTTAGATGCTTTAGAATGAACATGATGATGTCTGCTTTGACAAAGGACAAAATTTAGGCACAAGATTTTTCCAAGGAGTTCGTACGGTAGTTATCTAATTACAATTGAATACTTGAACATATATTAGACATATCCTTGTGACGAATAATGATCATTAGTGCAAATTTGTAAACTGTTCACAACGCTATTGAGGACGCTTGAATGCGCATTTCAACAAAAACTTGAAGTATCCTTTTGTTATCGGCAAGTTGTAGTGTTTAATCATAATTTTCGCAAATTAAATACCACTTAGATGCCCACAGTTGTACTGTCACACGTTTGCTTTAAAATAACCAAGTTGTAGACTCTAATCGAGAGCGATCTTTCTTTGTTTTAATTTACAGCAAAGCAAAACAGTATTTTTGACCGTCCTAAAACATGGAACGTCGACCCAGCCTGCAAACATGTAGCACCTTCATAAAAGTGGTCAGGCGCAATGATATTTTTTTGATGATTTTTGATGATTTTTTTCCCTTGTGTGTTAGATCGTCATTACGGTATTTTTTTGTCGCGGTGCTTCCTTGTTTGATTTTTTTGATTCCTTGTTTGATTTGTCGCGGTGATTCCTGGGTTTTTTTTATTAGATATTCTGTAAGCGTTGTCATTTACACGTTGTTCTCGAGTGTTGTACGCATGTACTGAATGTGATTTGTTTTTCACGTTTCAATTGTGTTTTTTGTCTTCTAAACCCACTCCCCTCTATAATGCTGTATGCCCTGAGGGTACAATAAATAAATAAATACGCACATCGAAGTTAAGGAAAGACATGGTGATCAAACAATCTTATGTGCTATGCATTTTGCTCTCTCAAGGCCACAAGTACAATGAAATCTCCAAAGCGGTCGTGTCCAATTGTGGTGACGTGACGCCCTCAGGTATTATAATAAATTCTGGGTAAATATTGATAGCACAATAATGGGATAAGCAAAACAAAATCAAAATACGAAACCTCAACAATATGCGATCCGCATGGCGAAGTTTTCACAGGTGAAGGAAACGTTAAGCGGATAGTGAGAATAAACCGCATCGATATGGTCAACCGGAAGTATGATATTACTTCCTCTGTTGAAGAAACGCATAGAGGCACCATTTTGTGTACTTAGAATCTCATCTCAGTGTTGCCAAACCTGCAGCAAAAAGACAGGTTACCGCTGTAACAGAAGCTGTAATACAAAAGCGTAAAAAATGCAAGACATTTGTATTGTTTTGCATGTGTTATACACTTTGTAATATGTGTTTAGAAAAAAATGTTTAACGATATCGAGTTCTTGCTACTCAATTATGAGAGAGTATGAAGCCGTCCCTTGGAAACACTACTAAACAATGAATGGTAATTTGACCTTTTCGTGAATCTCCCTTTTTCACTTTTTTCACTACATTTGAGAAACTAATAATTTCCGTCTTAATACAAGACCATGTTGGCCCCTAATAAACCCAATTTATAGATTAGCCCATGCTTCACAATGGGTCAGCTATTTGAAGCACTGGTTTTCTCATGACTGGTTAGTAAATACGCATGTGCTATCATTTGAGAAACTTTTAGGTGACGGGCGCATAAATTTACTTTCGAGTGACCTGCGAACACCATTCAAAGCCCCATTTTTCACTCATGTGTTGCGTAGATTGAATTGCAGACAGGTTAGTTCAGCAAGAATGCCGGTGATAGCGAAACGCAGTCCGAAGTTAATCAGCCTTCAAAAATAATAATACAATAAAAGCATTCAACCAGCTGCGCGTAGGGGGCCCTGATGAAACAACAAAGGAGGTTGCTTGCAAACAAGCTTTTGTTTAACATATTAACACAGCTCATTGAGTGAAGAACGAGTTCAATGAAGCGGGAATGAATGAAGTAGAATGCAGTGGTTTAATGAAGGGGCTAGAGTAGCGGAAGTAGGTGGAAGGATACTGGTGATTGGTTGGACTCGTGAGTTGTGGCAAACACCCGTTTTCACTGTAAAACGGCCCCCAAACATAAAATTCTGGACTACGAACAGCTTCGTTGTTTGAAAAATGCTTACTCTGCTCGGTTTTGGCCCATCACACGGCCAACGTTTACTTGTTCTGTTATATTTGAGAGCGCTCCATTTGAATGATCTAAATATGCCCACGTTGGAAAGGTTGCACTCCATTGTTACAAGTCGTTTGCAGCGTACAATTGACGTCATTGCCATAGTAGCGAACGTGGGGCCTGACGCCTAGTTCACAGGCTGCTGAAGCTTCGAAGCAACGCTTCGTGGGCTGTTTCTTGTAAGCACGTTCCATGTTATACTCTTTTCTCATTCTGAGAAGAGAACGTTTGAAGGGACAAGAATTGTGTAGCACGTTTACCCGACGCGAGTGGTTCAGTGAGCCGCGTGATGAAGTGCGAATGAAGTTATTAGCGCAACTTGAACAGCAATCAAGAGCTATCCTCTGAATCCACAACAGGCAGCTAGCTAACCTATAGAAGCAAGAGGAGGGAATGCATAAATATCCAAGCAACTCGAGCAAAAATCCAGACGTGAATTGGCAGCTTGCGCTTCATCACGTTTTGTAACTGTAATCATCTTTTTCGGTGCGACCAACTCAATTTGGGAGGCAATGAAAGAGCACACAACAAAAACAAAACACTAGTAATATCAACGAGTTTTGATGTCAAGCCACCATCTTTTCTATCGCTACATTTTTTAATCTAATAATCACTGGCCAGGCTTTTATTTCCCAAGTACTGATAAAATAAAATTTTTAATTTCGACTGCAAACTGCAGCATATTGTTGTGGTTCACAGCTTTTCTGGCGGTGAATGCTGTATGCCGTGTAGCAGAGTCACAAAATCATTTTTTTGCAAAGGAAGCGTGAGGTTGCAAAGCTTCCTGTTATTTAGAACTAAGTTAATTCACTTTCTTGGTTCGTCCTTTTCCTATTTGTTTTCTACTCAGTTCGTCTTCGCATTGAGGGCCACTCGGGAAAATGCACACACGGCTGTTGTTGCGCTTGGTCCGCTGGAATTCAGTCATGGTCCATGCGACGTGGTGACAGACTCAGAAGGTGAGCCCTTGTAAACAAAATTTATCGCGACAGCATTCTAACATATAAAGAAATCAATTCGGACAGCGCGAAGTTATCTAATTCCCCCTCAACTGCACATGCTATGCACCCCGCTAATTGAAACACGAATGAGGTTCTTAGATTGAGTGACGCTTTAGGCGATGACATGTTGTCGAAGTACACACTCTGCATTGCAAACATTTCGAAAAGAGGACGTTTTGATACAATTCGGCTTATCTAAACCCTAGTCAAAGTAACACTTGTTCTTCAAAATTACAACTCCCGAAGACTGTGCCATAATATTGTGTTTTGAGTGCGTCGAACCAGTTTTTCCACCAGTTGTAAGCTTGTTCTACAGCCTGCTGCTAAAAAGGAGAAATTTAATTGGTGCAGTTACGATGTCGAAGTGCCAGATGAGGTGGTGGCACGAGTTTTACTAATTCTGGTATTAACTCATGCATTGTCATGTTATTTGCAGCCGCTAAGCACTATGAACTCTTTTGTGTGGTTCAGGCTACTGTGATTTCGAAGTCGACGAATGTGGCTGGACGTCTGACACTGTCTGGAAACGAGGAGTGAAACTTTTTTCGTACGACGACCCGGGCCACCACGTGCGTTCTGGACCTGTTAATTCTGGTACGTGAGACAATTTTGACAGCCCTCGTAGTCTAAGATTTTGAATCGCGCTGTAATTACCATCAACAAGAAAGAATTATATGCGTATGTTTGGAGTTTTCTTTCTTTCATTAAGAAGGATACAGCACAACGAACATATATAAATGAGCTGAAGATTGTATTATGAGAAATGTCATACCCACCAGCACGGAGCTGGAGAGGGAGAACAACCTAACTAAATGTACCTGCAGAACCGATTACGCTCCCTCCAAGCGGGGAAGACGAGAAAACGGTATTGATGTGTTACCCGCACTCCCAGTCCCACAGTCTTCTTAGATTTCTTCTGCAGCGATAGCAATTCTTCATAACATGAAACCATGTGGAGTGATTGTCTTTTTAAAATGTTACTAAATTAAACAAAATGAATTTTGACTGTGCATACTATTAGTAGGCAGTCATGTGATTCTTGAAGGTGAACGATTCCACACTTTCCTTGTGCTGTATCTTTTTTTATTCCTGCTACTTACGTTCGCAACCGTGCATAGCCTGCACCATGCAGATGTTTATGCAGTAGCTCCGACAGCCATGGAAATGGCGACCCAACAGGTGTTCGGTAAGCGAACGCAATCGACGCCACAAGTTTTTCTCATGATAGTCTTGGTGTAAACGGCAATTCGGCCTAGTGGGAACATATTCATCTTGAAGTATATGGGTAGGCACACGGGGAAAAAGATCCGGAAAACAAGCGGCCGCAAATTTGTTTGTGTGTCTGATCTTTGTCCCCGTGCGCTTGCGAAAATACTCGAAGATGAATATCTTCGTATAGACTATAAAAAGTACAAAAGTACGTACAGTGTATAAGAAATGTGCATGTCGAAAAATACACGCAATTACACTCTACATGAAAGCGAAAGTGGGGTACAGACAATTTGCTTGCCCGTCAGTGCGGGTGGCGTTCACGGGTCAAACACGCACTGATGTTTCAAACGTCCCTCCTGCTTGGCGTTTTTGGCCGGAGAGGGAACCTCTCGAAGAATTCAATAATACTGAAAAACATGCACAAACACTATGCAGGAAGACACAGGAACCTGCTAATGTCTTTCTATGTAGTATTCGTGATTTTTGGCAAGTATTATGAAGGCATTCCGATAGTGCGATCAAGCCCAGATGAGTATATGAACTAAAATATTCTCATTTAATATGATGGTACCTCCTACCCTACTCTTTACCAACGGCTCCTTTCTCTGCTCGTCTCCCTTACATCACTGCTCTTCAGCCTTACTTCTCATTTTCAACCATTTTCTGCACTGTTCTCATTTTCATCCATTCTCTGCACTGTACTATAGTGGGATATTCAGTACCCTCCGCCACCTCCTTTCTCTTCTCGTCAGTCTCACATTCCTCATTGTTGCCCTAACTTTTCGTTCCCTCGTCGCGCCAAGTGGCACAATAAGAGGACATACAAAACGAGATGCGATGACAGCCCGGAGAATATGAAAGCCTGGGTCTCTAGAGTGTGGCGTAGTTAAAATGCAATACATGGGTCTTGCCAGCGTTTTGCAGTCAAAGTGAGAGAGTGTTTCCAGCGAGGATGATGGTTTCTTCAAATCTTTGTCATCAGCATCTTACGTGTCTGCTTCCAGTTCGGGCATTACCGCGTGATATCAGAAATTTTTCAAAATTTCTTTCGAAGACCATGGCAATTTGCGAATTATGACAAAGCATTTCTATTTGCTTATAAAGCAGGCGCTTCAAGAACTGCTTAGGAAAGGTTGAAAAGAAACTTCGCTTACCCTCTTTGTTCATTTGCCTCGCAGCTTACGTAATGATGGCCGCCACGACCTCCTACAGCAAAAAAGTTGCCACCCTAATGAGCCCTGAATTTCCTGGCCAGAGCGAGCCACAGTGCTTAGAGTTCTGGTACCTTGAGACAGGTTCAGGCGAAGTGCCAATGCAGGTAACCTCTTCATACAAAATCGTTGAATGAGACTAAGTGTTGTTGAAGTGTCATGCACTGCCTCCAGAATGTCTGCACATATCACTGATAGGCATAATATACGCGGCTAAACTAATTCAGTCTCTGTTGAACGCAGGCTGAGATACTGGTGAAAGGAGAAAGCGAGCTCATCTGGACAAAACCATCGTTTTCTAAGGACGACTGGATGCTAGTGCGTGTGCAGTTTGTGCAGGACAAAAAATTTCAGGTTCGTAGCACTATGTGGATAAATCTGGGAAATATTTGGGAAGCTGGCTAAGCACGCTCATAGTGCCCGCCATAACGCATCATAAATACCTGCTGCTATTAGGCGGAGAACAAAATAACTGAGTGTTGACATATTTTTCAGTTTAACTTCATGCCCAAGCCTCAACATGTGATAAAAGATCTGCGACTTATTAACACATTAGAGATACAAAATGCAAAAGGACAAGTTTTCCCGAAATGTCAAAAACATGAAAGAAAGCATCAGCATTCAAGAAAGACATTGGCACAGACCCCTAGAACATTGATCAAAAAACCAGCTGGAAAAGTCTCACATAATGTGGAGATTCGGACCACTGGTTACACATGTTGCAGAAGTTGAGAGTTGATTGTCATTGTCATTGTCAGTGCCATTATCATTGATACGATAATGTCATTACAATGTTTAAGTCATCGTCGTGCTCATATCAATATATTGGCTACATATGCCGCCCTCCATGTCACCAGCATTTATTTAAATGCATGGCGAACAAAATGAAATGTTTCTGAGAACAGTGAGCTTTGCAAATTTGTGAACGCTCTAAAGAAGAAGACTTATATGTCCGGTGAACAATTTCGCCAACCCTTGCTCGGTTCGTCGGCCGGTCTGTGCTGGTCGCTGCCATCGTTCTGAGCAATGGTCCACTCCTACCTAATTAGAGTCCTTAGAGTCATCAAAAATCAAATCACCACTGAAGCTGTCTTTCATTGGTGAAAGTGTGGGTTAATAATAGCCTTGCTACTAAGATGCCGCATATCTCCTAAAACCAAGACTGACATATTAAGGAACTGCGTTCCAGTCAGCTTCTTCATTTCTGCGTCTCTGTGCTATCATTTCTATTACTGTACGTTGCGCCCTACCGAACAGTGGGCCCTATATTGAGCGTGCAATCGAAAGCTCGCACAAAAAGTGGGTTGCAAGTGCAAGGTTCCCTTATGCTCTCAAGACTATTTAAAGGTAAATATTGTTCGGTTGTTCAAAGACGACTGTTTGTTAGCGCGTGAACATCATAAACACTCATTGAACGAAATGCTCAGCCTCCTTGAGCACCACCATGACCACATTTTTATTTATGCTAGTGTTTGTGACGTTTCACGATCTCGTGTATTTTTCTTTAACTGCATCAAATTACTGGATGGCACATGTTCTACATAGGGATACCAGGTTAACATGCACGTTGTTTATTTGTCATGTGAGAAATAACACTCATGTATACACAGTTCTTGGTCATTTGCGTTTTTACGTGTAGAACCTGTGTTGAAGAAACAGACGTGTTGTCGGCGACGTTTAAGGATGTGATGTTTAAGGAGCATTTTGTGCACAAATAAGTCACCGGCCAGGCATTAGTCTTTGAGTGAATATTTAGAATCGAACATAACAAAGAAGATACAAATGGTTGTACACAAAAAATAGTACACACTCACTTATGAAACATCATTCCACAGTGAAACAAATAGTACGAAAGAGTTCAAACTATGTTTCTGATAAGTTTTCCCATCTTCAATGAATCGACTTAGCACAACATAGCATTCATCACATAGAGTCCTCATGGAGATCAATACGCACATATGAGTATAATTGTCGACGCATCATCAAATTCAGCGCGCACATTGGGTGTGTGTTTTATAATAGTGCATATAACAAGAAGGACAGATTTAGCAGGAACACAAAAAGTATTTATCCCCTAACATTTGCCAGCAATCTCACTGTCTTCTTGAAAGCGTTTGATTAATTTTAGAGCGTAAGTCTGTAAACTTCTGGTTGGGCAAGAGCCCAGAAGTGTCTTAATACTGAAGGGTGTGTGGGTAAGGCCATTAGTTTCGACTTAGGATGACCTTTTGGTATGTCATCACATATGCTGTCATATATATATATATATATATATATATATATATATATATATATATATATATATATATATATATATATATATATATACACTTTTTTTCCTCGCATTTACAATACCATTCGGTCTAATACCTTTCCTTGGCATTATTGTTTGTTGGATCTCATTAACGTTGTGTCTAAACGCGGAAAAACGATCCCTTAAGTATCCACTTCTTTTCCTTATTCATTAACGAGGGCCTCATACTAGCAGACTTAGTACCTTAGATTGTGCACGAGAGACTACTGGTCAGCTGCCAGCTCGTAATAAGTTCACGTGATGCGTGACGCCATACTGGCAGATAAAGATTGTGCCATACTCGCCGACATGGCTACAGATGGCACTGACTGACACTCCCGCGCTTAAATTCACATATAAACCCAATAAAGTGGTTTGGAGGATAGCCGCCATGGTAGCTCAGAAGTAGAGAATCGAACGCGTTATGCAAAGGTCGAAGGTTTGGTTCCTGCCCACGGCAAGTTATCTTTTGACCCACTTTTCTTTCTTCGCAATTACATCACAGTTCTGTCGAATAACTTCACCTATACTTTCCTTGACATTATTGTCTGTTAGATATCAGTAGTATTGCGTCAAAACACGCAAGAACGAGCCCTTAAGTATACACGTCTATCCCTTATTCATTAATGGGGGTCTCCTACTGGCAGACTTGGTGCCTTAGGTTTTAAACGGGGTACTATAGGTCAGCTGCCAGCACGTAATAAGTTCACGTGCTTCGTGACGCCATACTATCTCATAAAGAGTGTGCCACACTCAGCGCCACGCCTACAGATGGCGCTGCCTGACACTCCCGTGCTTAAATTCACATAGAAATTCAATAAAGTGGTTGGGAGGATAGTCGCCATGGTAGCTCAGTGGTAGAGCATCGAACGTGTTATGCGAAAGTCGCAGGTTTGGTTCCTGCCCAGGGCAAGTTATTTTTTTACCCACTTTTCTTTCTTCGCATTTACATTACAGTTCTGGTTAATATTGTCTCCTATACTTTCCTTGGCGTTATTGTCCTTTAGATGTCATTATTATTGTGTCAAAACACGGAAAAACGAGCCCTACGGTATACACTTCTTTCTTATATATATATATATATATATATATATATATATATATATATATATATATATATATATATATATATATATATATATATATATATATATATATATATATATATATATGTATATATATATATATATATATATATATATATATATATATATATATATATATATATATATATATATATATATATATCGACACTCATAGTCAGAATTTTGAGCTCTGTAAATTTCATTCTTTGTGCAAACGGTGTCCGCCCTTAGCAGGTAAATCAGTGTTTTCAAGGTTTGATGTAATGGGTGTGTATTTAAATTCAATACGCAGGTCATTATGATAGAAGGTATAGTTTTTGAGATCATGTCAAACCAGGTTATTTTGCTCAGTCAAACGTTGTTTCCTTTACAACACTTCACAATATCCCTTTTCGAGATTTGTGTAAACAACAGATTTCGTACAACTTTCGTAAGGAATGCCCGAATGAATTTCAAGGGGTACGAATGTGGCTAAAGTCGAAGTCAGAACAAAGAAAATGAATCAAAGACCATTATGATGGCTGACCTCTTCGAATAAAAAAAAGAAAAATACGGAGAGGCAAAACCCAGTGCATTCAGCACGAAATTCAGCTTTATGTATGCCAGAACTCACATCACGTGACACGCATGACGTAACTGAATATCGAACACAAGCGAGCTGTCTTAACACAAAAATCCTAACATCCTTGTTAGTTGATCCTTGCTGGCTTTTTTTTTTTTATTTTTTTTTTATTTGAAACAAAACCCGCAGCGCCACTTAGGCATTATTGCGGGGGGCACAGAGCCTCATAAAATGAATCCGCAGTCTTGCGGCCAACTACATCGGCTGGTAACGTGTTCCATTCAACAATGGATTGCGGAAAAAAAGAATGCTTAAAAAGATCCGTTCTGGGGTTGTATGGCCGTACTTTAAATTTGTGATCATGACGGGAGGATTGATATACGCTTTTTTTAAATAATCTGAAGCATTAATGCCCGTTTTATTGTTATATATCGAATAAAATAGTTTTAATCTTAGATTACGTCTTCGATCTTGTAAGTATTGCCAATTAAGTTCTCTTTTCATACAACGGGAGCTTTCAGTTCGGCCATATTTTCCCAGAACAAATCTTGCTGCCATCGACTGAATGCGCTCTAATTCATGAATATGTATTTTGTTAAACGGATCCCACACAGGACAGGCGTATTCTAGTATTGGTCTCACATAGGCATAATATGCGGCCTGTTTAACCTCCTTGGTTACATGTTTAAGATTTCTTTGTAAAAAGCCTAGGGCTTTTCCCGCTCTACTTACAACATTGCCAATGTGCTCAGACCATCCCCATCCTCAGAAAGCGTGACACCCAAATACTTATATTTGTGTTCATACCTAATAACTTCATTGTTTAATATGTACTGATTTGTAAATCTATTAACCTTTTTGGTGAAACTGACGTGAACACATTTATTCGTGTTTAATACCATGTCATTATTTTTACACCATGCCTCCACGTGATTAAGGTCATCCTGAAGCTGGGTGGAATCCGTTTTGGTCGGTCAATTCAGTATACAACACACAGTCGTCAGCAAACATTCTGATACGACACCTAATTGTATCCGAAATATCATTAATAAACACAAGGAAGAGAAGCGGACCGAGTACGGAACCCTGAGGTACCCCTGATGTCACCGAAGCTAAACACGAACAAGATCCACCAAGCACAACCTTTTGTTTTCTTGAAGTTAAATAGTCCGCAATCCAACGGCAAATGGTTTGATGAATGTTCAAGTTCTGCAGTTTTTGAATCAGAATAGAGTGTGATACCGTATCGAAAGCCTTTCTGAAGTCTAAAAATAAACAATCAATCTGTCCTCGATTATCTAAAACTGATGCTATATCATGATAGAATTCAATTAATTGGGTTGTGCATGAAAAACCCTGTCTAAATCCGTGTTGTTTAGGATTAAAAAATTTAATTGAAGTCAGGTGATTCATTAAAGCAGAAAAAAGAACATGTTCAAGTACTTTACAACAAATCGGCGTCAAAGAAATTGGTCTGTAATTTGATACGTCTGATTTAGAACCACTTTTGAAAACTGGCACAACATTAGCTATTTTCCAATCATCAGGAAGCTTGCCTTCATCGAGTGATTTTTATAGATAACATAAAGGTAACGAGCCACTGCCTCAGAGCAAAGTTTTAAAACTCTTGGTGATATGCCATCAGGGCCAGTTGCTTTACCTTCGTCAATGCGCTGTAACAACTTCATTATGCCATTGAATGAAAGCTCTATCTCACCCATAGGCAAATATTGTTCTTTTTTATTCGTGACAATCACTTGTGTAGGTGGGCGGAAGACCGATTTAAAGAAGTCGTTAAAAAGTGTGGCTTTATCTCGATCCTCAATTACAATCTCGCCACCGTAACGTAGGTTTGGTGGGCTAACCTTCTCAGTACCACATCGTCTCATATATTTCCAAAACCTTTTCTTATTAGAAAAGTCAGCGGCCAGACTCTTAAAATACTTTTTCTTGGTTTCTTTCAGTTCCATTTTATAAAGTGATGTCAAATCTTTCATTTTATTAAAATTTTCAGGGGATTTTTTTTGGCAGTATCGGGAAAAAGCCCTCTTGCGCTTTTTGATAAGCTGAATAAGATGCCCCTTAATCCAAGGTTTCTTAATTTTACTCAGTTTATTGTTTGAGACGCTCGGGACGTGGCACCAAATAAGCCCAGTAATGCGTTCCTTATAAACACTTGCCATAGCTACTCAACAGTTGCTTCGTCTGCACTGCATTCAAAAGACAGAATTTCATGCTCAAGTCCCGCTGATATTTGCTGATAGTTTGCTTTACTATAAAAGAAGATTCTCCTAGATTCGCATTTCTTTGTATTTACCCGAGATCTTGTCAGCTTTGCAAAGACCGGCGTTGTGATCACTAATACCGGGAATAACGTGTGTTTCATTAATGACATCAGGGTATTACAAAACAACAAATCCAGAATGTTGTCACCTCGCGTAGGACTGGAAACATACTGCATGAGGCCGAGCACGTCAGTCAAACGTTTCAATTCACAGTATGTCGCTGCCTGAGACTTTAGACACAATTACCGTTATTTCCACTCAGCATCCGGTAAATTAAAGTCACCAGCAAGAACGACACATTCTTTAGAAAATGTGCAGGCAATTTTTCTCAGCTGACGCATAACATTCGGTTCAAAGACAGGAGGCCGATAGAAAGCACCAACAATGAACTAAACGATTACTTTGCACTACTCGGCACCAAACAGATTCAGTTTCATTGTTATCAATAAAAATTTCTTCGGACATCAAGAATCCTTCACAAGAATGAAAACACCACCACCATGCGTTGACCGGTCTTTTCGATATGTTTGAAAATTGCAAGGAAACATTTCAGAGTTCGAAACTGCTTCGTCAAGCCAAGATTCTGACCCAATGACTAAGTCAGCGTTCACTGACCCAATAAGGCCACCCAGCTCATCAGCTTTATTCTTAACACTTCGGCAATTCATCATCAGAAGGACAATATCTCGGGCACCTTGGGGCTTTTGTCTCACTTCTTTGTTATCGCGTCACGAACGTCTTACTTTTGTGACATCTTGCGCAACGCTATCCCAAGTGTAAGTCCTACCGTCAATGATAAGCTTATCAAAAGAAAGTTTCACTGTGTGACCATCTGCTTTTTTTGATTTGCATATTCCCATAAGTGCTTTCTTTTTTTCGCGCACCTGCTTGGAATAGTCGTCACTGATTGATAAGCCAGAATCTTTCAATTTGTGTGCATTTTTGTAGAGATCAGCTTTTTTCTCGAAAGTTGTAAAGCCGTAGAATGACTGGTCTGTTCTTCCCCCGCTTCTTTGCTCCAATGCGGTGAATTCTTTCAACACTCATTAAGGTGACACCCATTTTAGCAGTAAAAAATATCGTCAAGAACAGTTTTAACGAAGTGATTCAGTTGTTTCACCAGTACTTTCTTTCAACCCATAGACAACCAAATTATTACGTCTGCTTCTGTTCTCAAGATCATCGAGTTTCACTTGCATCTCAACAATGCCTGCCGATATTCGATCCACTGTTTCCACAACGTTCAAATTGTACACTTTTACCGGCAAGGCATTTTAATTCACTTTCAATTGAGTCTAACCTCTGATCCGTAAGAGCAATGTAGTCGTCGAGCTTCTTTCTAATTGTTCCCATCACCTCAAGTATTTCTTTTGACCTTTAAGTAGCTCCTGCATTGCAGAATCATTAGGGCCCGGGTTCATTTCAATGTCCCCACTCAGAGCAATACCAACATACACGCAGCATCAAAGCACTCGGGCCACTCCATCACAAAAGGCTCTTGGGCAAGGCAACACCACCAGGCAACCGGAAAACTCGTGGTGCATTTGGAATAGGAATGTTTTTTACTACCCTGCAGAACGTACAAAGAGCAGATTATTCCGTGGCCGCATGCTGGCGGTGAAACCCTGCCCAATGCCGCTGTAAACGTGGGGGGCGTATCTCGAGGCCTCGCCTGTCGCTGTCGATTTGGCTGTGTAGTTCAAAGCACCGGAAACCAAAACTTGAGCTGGCCACCGAATCCAGGAAAATTCATCTGTGCAGCAGAATTCAGGACTGCGCTGATTGGCGTCGGGTGACAAAAATCACTGGCAGTCATGCTTTCCGGTGACCATCCATCCGATGATAACCCAGGCACAAGGCGAGAATCTGCAGAACGTACAAGAGCAGATTATTCCGTGGCCGCATGCTGGCGTTGAAAACCCTGCCGGATTACATCAATTCCAACAATGCTTTGGATCTGTTGGTTTCTTTTACGCCTGTTTTAGGTAAATGTGTTTTTTTCCACATGTGCTCCTATTTTCAGGTGGTGCTCCGGGCAACCATGCCGGCCAATAGTATGGTGTCTTTGAGCTTGGACAACGTGGCAGTACGCACTGAGCCATGCGTGCACCCGATAGAATGTGACTTCTCGGAAGGCCTTTGCGGATACATAAATAGGTTCGAAGGGGACTTCCGTTGGCTTGTCGGTTCGGGTAGACTCGAAAATCCTCGAATGCAGCCGAAGTCACCCAGTTCCTCAAGGCAAGTTCTTCAAAGTCAGCTTGAGTTGAGCGATGTGAAGCTTTAATGATGGATGGGTCATTAATATCACCAATTATTTCAGAAGCCCGAGCACTACTTCAGTGAGCATCAGTTTTGATGTTTCGTGGAATCCAAGTGACTTTACGAAAAATCTATTCACTGTGGGGTGTACGCAGTGAATAAAAGACTTGTTGTCTCTAAAATAACATATCAAGTTGGAAGTAAAACCGTCTTGTTCCCACATTTCGGCCTTCTTAAGCACTCATAAGTTCGCAGTGCAAATGTAATGAACGTAAAACAAAAGCAAAAACGTACTTCGTCTTCAACAATGAATCAAGGCAATGCCAACTTATGAAGCAGCATGTCTGCATTAGTTGTGCCAAAGAAGGGCCCTAGGAATGATATAGGCTAACTGTAAAAGCGACTACAGAAAACAGGTCTTGTTTGTGAAAGTTCATGATGAAAATCCAGGCATTTACTTTTAGTCATAACATACGGTTGCACTTATAAAAGAAATGAAAACTTGAAACTAAAAGGGGCAAGAACAAACTAGAAAAACGCCAGGCCCATGGAAGGCGCAGCACAGTCACAGCGGAAGCTAGAATAGTGGCCTTTCAGGGCATTTTCAAAACACTTATTAGATAACTGCTGCAAGCACACTTGCTTGGTGACCACTAAGGCATTAACAATAAAATTATTGTGCAGTAGGCTTGCATTGGCTATGCTATTTTTCGGCACTCTTCTTAGAAGCGTGGTATCCGCCAAACACTTCCAAGGAATTTCCTGCATATTGTTCATGCAGTGGCTGATGACGATGAGGAATTGTGCCTGAAGTGGGTATGTGTCACAGTTAATAGGTGAACATGAACAAGCTCTTGTAAGGGGTTGGAGCATTGGACGACCCACTCGTTACGCTACTCGCACTGTGCGACAACTGGTTGTACTTTCACTGTTTTAAAACGGTTTATAAGTTGTACAAAGTGTCAGCTGCAAGCGCAGGGCCGCGTTGACTGGCGGAACATCATAGGGCTCTTTGTGTAGCAGTGGACGTAGTCAGGCTGATGAATATAATGATGATGATGATAATAAGTCGTGCCAACGTGATTTTTTCCCAACATTAATCCTGCCTAAGGCAAGTTTGCCGAGAAGTCTCATGCACAGGCATGCGTCAGTGGTAGGATACTGGGTGGGCACTGAGCGGACCCGGGTTCGAGCCCCACTGTTGAATTGGTACTACGTTGTAAATGCGAAGCATTTCTTAGCGAACTTCGGCGACTTTGAGCGTATCTATCTATCTATCTATCTATCTATCTATCTATCTATCTATCTATCTATCTATCTATCTATCTATCTATCTATCTATCTATCCACTTACGTTTGGGCGCCCTCGTGGCCACCCCCTTAACTTCGCGTAAACCAAAATTAGCATGGCAGGGTAAGATGGCTTCACGAATATGAAGCGCTGGTCACGATATGAATTATGTCGCAATCCTTTCGTGTACGTCGTTAAACACTTCCCGTCAGACAATGGCGCATACGCACGCGTGGGTATATGCCGCTGGTATGCGGGTATGTGCCACAGATGATTGACACTTAGTATCTGCCAGGAACAACAAGAACACACATGGGCAACCTTAGCGTTAAGCAACACCTTAAATCTGTAGCGTCGACTCAACGAAGGCATAGAATCAATGTCATTGTTAGGGAAAAACCTGGCATAGGCAGCGTTGACCCCCAATAAATACAAATAATAAATTTCATGGTCCCAGCAGGATTCGAACCCAACATTCTGCGTGCCAGTCAAGCATTCTGCCACAGAGCTACGCCAGGTCTAGGAACTACTTTTTTGAATAGACGCTAATCTTTGTGAAACGTCAATAGTGGTTGCAGTGCTGTCTACTCAATTTTATAAGCATTACATATGTACTCCTTTGATACACCCGTCACGTCGGGTTAACGTCAATTGTAGTTAGTTGCCACGTGCTGAAGTTGATTTTTGTAGCAGTGTCCAGGACCAGTGTCCTCTCGAGCATAAGCGCTTCAGATAAGCTTCTGGTGTTGCCAATACGCTTGTTCCAGTTGACGTCGTTTCGCAAGTGCAAACAACTGGTTTTATAAACATCTAAAACTCCTCAACATATGTCTGTGCGTAAAACATTTATATTTAGCGTCATTTCATGGCGTATCGCTAAAAAAAAAGAATTCCAACAAGATCACCTTCCCTCTGCATGCTTCGCATAACGTCGATTCCCAGGTACTTGGGATCTGCCGATATTTTTTTTTTCTAATTTCATGCGTTGTAGTTACGGAAACCGGCAGCGGCGGCGGCGGAGGACAGCTACGGCAACGCATATCCGAGTTTTGATCTCATAACGGCTTTTGCTGTGAATAAAAAAAAACAGCGAGCTATTGCGCTGACCGTAAAAAAAGTAGTTCCTCGGTACACTTTATTCTTGATAATGCTGACTAAAGATGCAATATTTCTATTACGTTTTCTGCGGTAGGACTTTTTGAAAACATGGCAGCTTATTCACGGGGTGAATGATGGACAGTGGGGCGAAGCATCAGTCCGTCCTTTCGTTCTTGCTTCCGTCCGTCCATGCGTCCGCCTGTGTGACCGCCCATGCGTCCATCCGCCCGTCTGTGCTTGCATATGTTCGTTCGTACACACGTCCATCTGTGCGTCCGTCCCTGCGTTCGTCCATGCATCCATCTGTTTGTGCAGCCATCCGTGCGTCCGTCCATGCATCTGTCTGTGTGTCCGTTCGTCCACCTATTCAACGCTCCAAGTACTACCATATCGCATCTTTTCATCATATATTCCTCATATAAAAGCACCGTCATCCAGCGGACATTCCAATGACTGAACGAGAGGAGGCACACGCACACTTTCTTACGGCTTGCACTTCGTGTATACTTCCCATCTTTAACCACCTCGAGTTCATGGTATATACTAGTTCACTGTATTCATCGCACTGCGGCTCAACGCTGGCTAAACCTTTATTAAACCAAGGAGGTTACGCCCAGTGAGCATAACGTAGCAATTAACCCTTCCTTGAGCACTATCTGGCAAGATAGTGCTCAATGTACATACCAATGGCTGCTAATTGGGAATCAGAGACAGGAGAATTCGGCTTTCAGTTAACGTGCACGCTGCGCATTTTTTATTGTTCAACAACGCACAGGAGAAATCTCCCACCGGCAACACTTTGCAGGTCAAAGCCTTACGCTGGTTACGCACTACGACTATGCTACGACAAGAGACGAACGGGTGCTGCCTAAAGGAGTTCGCCTTTAAAAGACAAAGTAAACAGAAATGGGATTGAGTTGCACAAGATTTAATGTATGACTTTTGGTTAACGTTAGTATTCAGGCCGAAAAAATTGCTGGAGAAGTTGGTGCATGTTATGTAATGGAGAAAATATTGAAGAGACGAACGCGACAGGTGATACGGAGAAGCACATGTCTGTCTGAATCTCTGCGTTCTCTTTTGGCCCCTTTGTGTTTTGGCAGAGTGCAGTGGCACAGTGAAGCTTTCAGTTTGAAGAAGATATTTGCGCAAGAGAGCACGATTGTTTATAATCTTCAGGAATTATATAGGATAGTGTACGCTGCACAAAAATTGTTCCAGAACGAGATGTAGCCACACCCTCATATATAAAACATTCTAAAAGATTGGAAGAAGTTGGCATTTTGTATAGTTTCATAATATAATGTTGCAAGATTAATCGTGGTTTTAGTGCGAAGCTCACAGCGAAAAATGGATTCACTGTACTACTTCTTAATAATGGAAGCGAAGCAGCTTATGTCAATTTGTGGGAATTATTCTTACTTTTACTTTTTTCACGACATTGGGGATGTGATCTATATCTATCTGCACGTTGTATTGAGAAAATGCGCTATTGATGTGAACAGCGACTTGGAACCCTGATACTCATATATGCGGGCTTGTCAGGCGCTGGAATGGTCTTGTGATGGTCTATCTCGGCACTCACGTGTTCCTTGTGTTTAGATATCGCACTGAGCTATTACACTTCTTGCGATACTGCTCGCTCAGGTGATGCATTAATTCTTTTCGCTTCATTCAATTTGGCCCACTATTGCCAGCTTTGTGAAGAGGCAACGACGATGAAGGCTCGTCCGACGAACGGCAAATGTTGCGTTTATGAAGCGAGGTGAGAAGCCAATTGGAAAACTGCTTGACTACCTCTACACAAAAAATTGGCTCCGTATCTCTGCAAATGTCGTCGAAAGACGATAGCCTTGCATGTGGAGATAGTGAACAAACATTTATTTGATGTGCGCAAGAAATCGGTGAATGGTATTCTGCAGGCGCTGCGTTAGAGTGCCTCGAACGTGCAGCGGAAGCGAACGAGCACATCAAGTCATGGCACACGTGAGACACGAGCTCTATCTGGCAGTTTTCTTGGAAAACGTAGCGCGTGGCTCTGAAACGGTTGTGCGCGCCTGTCTCAGAGGTGATAAGGTCTAGAACGCAAGGCGATGGGTAGGTGCCACGACCGTGTCGTCTTCGCAAAGCGTTGGAAACACTTGCCGTTTCAGTGCAAGCGTTGCACGGTCAGCGCATCATGATAAACGCTATGGTCTTTAGAATTTCTTATGTATGCCTTTTCCAGTAAAAGACGTACATACAGAATATATACGTATTGTAAGGGTGCCTCAGGTATGCGCATTAATTGTTTTAATTGACAATCACACAAGTATGACTGCTGAACCTTGACCAACATTGGTGGGCACTACGGATCGGGTCAGTCGTTTGGGGTATCGGCTGGTGCCGTTTAGAATATCCGAAGTCGTTAAGGCTGGACAAACAGACAAATGTACAGACAGACCAATTTTTTTCGCATCGAAGGTCCCCAAAAAACATGGAAGAATGCACGCAACACAAAGCGGTAGTTACTGCGCAACCTGCATGGCATCCTCCTCACTCAGCCAAATTTACGCGGGAAGTTCTCTAGTGTGAGAAAAAGCCAATTTCTTGTAAGGTTGAAGGAACTTACAGAGCCCCTTACTACCCTGAGTTCA